TAGGGACGGCGGCACCGCGGGAGGACGCGCCGCTCTCTAGCGACTCAGCCGCGCCCGCCTCCAGCGGGCTCGCGACGCCGGGCGCGCCTAGGCGAGCCAGGAGAGAGACAGGTGCACACCTCCACATGGGCATGTGGAGGTGTGCACCTGCCTCTCTCCTGGCTCGCCTAGGCGCGCCCGGCGTCGCGAGCCCGCTGGAGGCGGGCGCGGCTGAGTCGCTAGAGAGCGGCGCGTCCTCCCGCGGTGCCGCCGTCCCTAGATGCCGCGCACCCGCCCAGAGAGCGTGCGGTCTTCTGCACTCGCGAGCTACCCGCCCTCGGCCCCCGCGAGACGGCGTGCAGCGTTTGCACGATGCCCTGCGCACGCCCTCAGGCCGGTCTTCTTTGCTGTGCGTCTCTAGGCGGCGCCTCGCCCTCGCACGGCGCCTCGCCCTCGCAGAGCAGGCGGGCCCGCACGCGGCTGTCGGCGAGGCGCCTCTTCGGCGCGGACACGGCGCGGCTGCCGTCCATCCCCGGCTCCGACTCCGCCATCCCCGCGCCCGAGAAGATCGACGCCGCCGAGAAAGCGAGCGCGGGGGCGGCGGGGGCGGAGGTGGCAGTGCCGGCTACTCTTGGCGAGGCGGTCGCCGAGTTGCGGAGGTGAGCTCGCCTCGTGGCCGCTTGCCGGAGTATGCCGAGTGCATCGTCGGGAGACACGAAGCTCGTATGCACACTTGCGCGAGAGGAACTGCACCACTTTTTATTGTACATTGTAGGGGTTTGTAGCATGGCTCAGCGTGTATTGCAATAGGAATCCTATAGGACGCGGCCTTTAGTTCCTAGCAGAGTAGGATTCGTCTACCTACGTCTCAAAAAACAACTGTTTGTGCCCCGTTTGTGCCGCGTCCCGTGCCCCCGAGTTCATTTAATAAAAAACAACTGTGAGGCCTCCCCTCGCCCCGGAAACATCCCGGACCCAAGACGCACAAGCTCAAACAGTCTTCTTACACGAGTTGACAAGTAGGTAGGTAGACGAAAGGCACAAAATAAAGGCCTACCCCCCCCGGGACACGCTGCCTTTGCTGAAGGCGTGCTCATGCGTACCGTGCCGCAATCGAGCAGCCGAAGTGCAAACGCATTGAACACCCCTTCATCATGCTGTCCCAGTTTGCTCTCGCGGTGCCGACCCAGCACACGCCGCAGCACGCAAGTTCCTTACCGTCCCTGACGCCCCTCCCCGTCCGTCGCTACAGGCGTCGGGTGCTTTCCCCGTCACCTACACTAACTGCGGCGTCGAGAAGACACTTCAGACGACCCCGGAGAAGGTCGTGACCATGAACCAGGGCTCGCTCGAGTTCATGCTCTCCATGGGCCTCCAGGACCGCATCGTCGGCACACGCGGCGTCACCTCCGTCCTCGACCCGATCTGGCCCAAGTACAAAGACGCGTACAACAGCGTCCCGGTCATGAGCGGCGCGGATGGGAAATCGTACCCGAGCGACGCGGAGGTCACGGCACGCCGCAGTTGTTGCACGCCTCGTACCCAACGACGTAATGCTCGTTCTCGCTCCAGGTGCTCGCCGCGAACGCGGACTACATCTTTGCGGACTGGAGCAGCGCCTTCTCCGAGTACGCGTGGAACAACGACACGTTGCGGCAGTGGGCGTCTGTGGGCGAATGCGGCGGTGAGAACTCGGACTTCTGGCCCGCCGGCGAGAACAAGACGTACATCGACAAGGGCAAGGCTCCCGGCTACGAGCGCAAGGACGAGATCGAGAGCTGGTGCCGCCCCAGCTGCACGACAAAGGCATCGGCACCTTCCTCTCGGCCGTCTCGTGCGAGGACAAGACCCTGCGGGCGCCGCCGATTCCAGACACCCTGTACGACACAATCAAGACCATGGGCGAGATTTTCAACGTGCCGACCGTGGCCAGCCAGCTCGTCAAGGAGATCGAGGCGGACTTCGTCATCGCCCAACAGACGCTGCAGAAGGCCGCCGGCCACTCTCTCACCGCGGTCTGGCTGGACTGCATCTCCTGCTGCGATCAGGAGCCGGAGCTGTCGGTCTTCGTCGGCTCTGGCGGGGGCGCGCCCCAGATGATCATGAAGGAGGCAGGCTTCACCAACCTCTTCAAAGACCGCGAGAACTCCTGGGCGTGCGTCACTGTGGCGGACATCATCAAAGCCGAGCCGGACGTGATGATCGTCGTCGAGGCCGGCT